CCCACCCCCCCACCCTGCTTTAATCACCGAAATGAGGCTAACGAGGCTGTCTCTCTTGCCGGCGTTAGGGTGTCATGGTAGGCATGGGGCAGAAAGACAGCTACGTGGGTGACGAGGCGCAGAGCAAGAGGGGTATCCTCACGCTCAAGTACCCCATCGAGCATGGCATCATCACCAACTGGGATGACATGGAGAAGGTGAGACCCCCCCTGAGCCACCCCGGGCCAGGGAATGGGTGCTGGCCCCAGCTTCGGTTTGGGGTGAGACCCCAATTCTCCTTTCTCCACCTTAGATCTGGCACCACTCCTTCTACAATGAGCTGCGCGTGGCCCCCGAGGAGCACCCGACCCTGCTCACCGAGGCACCCCTCAACCCCAAGGCCAACCGGGAGAAGATGACCCAGGTAAGGCGCTGCGGGACCCCTGGGGATGGACCCTCTGAAACCACAGGAAGGGCTGGAGGATTTGGGGGGTTTAGCGAGCCAGGAGGGGCTGGCACGGGGGGGAGGAGCAGGTGGTGGGGTGAAGCTCGGTGCTTGAATAAGGGCAGAGCTCTTGGCGACGCTCGTGTGGACCCACGGGTTTCTCTGCAGCGTGTGGACCTGCAGGGTTTGCCACGCAATGCGTTGACCCACAGGTTTTTTTCCATGCAACGCACAGACCCACGTGGTTTTCTGTGCGATGCAATGACTCACGTCTCCACGCCATGCATTGGCCCACGTGTTTTTCAGCACAACGCAGCATTCCGTCTCTTGTTCCGTGCAATGCATTGATCCACGTGTCTGGGCAATGCAACGATCTGCCTATTTTTCCATGCAATGCAATGATTCGTGTGATTTTCCATGCAATGCACTGACGCCGTCTCTCCGGGAAGGCATGGCCCCCGTGGGTTGGGGTGGGATGCCACTGGGGACCCCCGTGCTCCCCCCTAAGCCGCTGCCCCTCTCGCCCTCCCTCCCAGATCATGTTCGAAACCTTTAATGTCCCCGCCATGTACGTCGCCATCCAAGCCGTCCTCTCCCTCTACGCCTCCGGCCGCACGACCGGTGAGTGGGACACGCGGCATCTGTGATGGGGAAGGGACCGAGCCGGCTTTGAGCCCCCTCCCTCACCTTCACCCTCCTTCCCAGGCATCGTCCTTGACTCTGGGGATGGCGTCACCCACAACGTGCCCATCTATGAGGGCTACGCTCTGCCCCACGCCATCATGCGTCTCGACTTGGCTGGCCGTGACCTCACCGACTACCTCATGAAGATCCTCACTGAGAGGGGCTACTCCTTCGTCACCACCGGTATGGGGTTGGGGAGGGAGGTGCAGGGTGACAGGGCATCCTGCGGTGCCACCACGGCACCAGGGTGAGCCTGTTCACCATCACATCCTGCAGCCGAGCGGGAAATCGTGCGTGACATCAAGGAGAAGCTCTGCTACGTGGCCCTCGACTTCGAGAATGAGATGGCCACAGCCGCCTCCTCCTCCTCCCTGGAGAAGAGCTACGAGCTCCCTGATGGGCAGGTCATCACCATTGGGAACGAGCGTTTCCGTTGCCCTGAGACCCTCTTCCAACCCTCCTTCATCGGTGAGCCCACCCCGCATTGTCCTGGCTGTCCCCTAGGTGGTTGCCCTCCATCCCCACCACCTCACCAGCGGGCAACCAGCTCCCATGGGTGCTCCACAGAGGCATTTCGGGGCTCTCCCAAGTGCTTTGCACCCTAAATGGGGGGACAAACTCATGGGTGACCCCATGGCTCTTTTGGGGAGCCCCAAGGAGGCACGGGTGGGGGTCAGGGTGCTGACAGCCCCCTTCCACCCCAGGCATGGAGTCAGCCGGCATCCACGAGACAACCTACAACTCCATCATGAAGTGCGACATCGACATCCGCAAGGACCTCTATGCCAACAACGTGTTGTCCGGTGGCACCACCATGTACCCCGGCATCGCCGACCGCATGCAGAAGGAAATCACGGCGCTGGCTCCCAGCACCATGAAGATCAAAGTAGGTGGTGGTGGTGGGGAAACCATGGCCACCAACACCCCAAATCCTCTCCTGGTACAGGTTTGGGCGGGGAGGGGGGGCGTTAAAGGGGTGCATCCTAATGGCTCATGTCTCGGCAGATCATCGCCCCACCGGAGCGGAAGTACTCGGTGTGGATCGGCGGCTCCATCCTGGCGTCCCTCTCCACCTTCCAGCAGATGTGGATCAGCAAACCCGAGTACGACGAAGCCGGACCCTCCATTGTCCACCGAAAATGCTTCTAAGCCCCCTCCCTGCCCCGCGGTGGCCCCCCACGTCCGGGCTGGGGTGTCCTGCTCCTCCTCAGTCCCCGCTGCTCCTCCCCACCGCCCACTGTGCATTAAAGCCTTTTCTCCAGGCTCTGCCCCTTTTCTGGAAGATTTTGGGGTGTTGAGGGGTGGGAGGGGTTGGAGGGGGGAGCTGAGGGCAACAGGGGGAGGGATGGGGAAACCCCAAGCTCGTGTTGGTGCCCACGATCCCAATGTTGGTGCCCCTGATGTCATGCTGATGGTTGATGGCCTCAACCCTGCCTTGATGTCCCCAACACCATGTTGATGCCCTTGACCCCATGGTGTTGCCTCCAACCCCGTGTCGATGCCCTCGGCCCTGTGTTGGTGCCCCTGACCCCATGTTGATGCCACTGACCTCATGTCGACGTCCTTGACCCCATGTTGGTGCCCCCAATGTCACATTGATGCCCCCAACCCTGTGTTGATGCCCCCAACCCTGTGCCGATGCACCTGATCCCATGTTGTTGCCCCTGATCCCATGCTGATGCCTCCAACCCTTTGTTGATGCCCTTGACCCCTTGTCGGTGTCCCCAACTCTGTGTCAATGCCATTGCCCTCATGTCGGTGTCCCCAACCCTTTGTTGATGCCCTTGACCCCATGTTGGTGTCCCCAACCCCTTGCCGGTGTCCCCAACCCTGTGTCAATGCCGTTGCCCTCATGTCGGTGTCCCCAACCCTCTACTGATGCCTCCAACCCCGCGTTGATGCCCTTGCCCCCATCTCACTGCCCTTGACCCCATATTGGTGCCCTGCCCCCGTGTTGGTGCCCCGCCCTGTCCCTGCTCCAGCGCTGCCGGGACATGCTGTGGGCGGGGTTATATTTGCATAAATTACCATACCCCCCCCCCCCCCCAGCAGTTGCGCGCGCCTCCAGCTGCCTCTTCCGCGGCTGCTCCCCCCTTCTCCCTTC